TCTCTGCCTAGATCTATCTATCTATCTTCAAGCCTTTGGAAGCATCAAACTCCTACAACTCACTCACCCATCCACCCGCCCACCTCCAACACCCGCCTCATCAAAACAAGATAATAATAGCCTTCCGATACATACACACATACACACATACACACATACACACATACACACATACACACACACATACATACACACATAAATATGCAATTCCTTTCTTTCAAATAAATGAGTTGCTCGCTCACCTACTCACTCACTCACTCACCTACTCACTCACTCACCTACTCACTCACTCATTTCCGAACCACCGCATCTTCTTCATCATCGCCTCTCACCACTCACCCACTCACCCACTCACCCACTCACCCACTCACCCACTCACCCACTCACTCACCGACCTACCTACCTACTTACCTACCTTCTCACATACTTCCCTCTCTCATCCCTTTCTCATCCCTTTCTATCCCATCCTCATCCTATCTCATCCCCGTCTAATCTCCCCCCTTAATCTCCCCCCCTAATCTCATCACATCTCACCTCACCTCACCCCCTTCCCCCTTCCCTCTTCCCCCCTCCCCCTTCCCTCTTCCCCCCTCCCCCTTCCCTCTCCCCCCCCCTCCTTCCTTGATCGTACTCCATACCCATACGTGCGAAAAAGAGAGAGAGAGAGGGGGGGAAAGAGAGAGGAGAGAGAGAGGTAATAATATCATATCATGATAAGGATAAGGACATGAGAGATAGAGATAGGATCGTGCCTGAGCCCAACCCGAACCCCAAACTCGAAGTCGAACTCCAACTCAAACTCGGACCACCGAGCCCGGTAGGTACCTTAGGTAGGTAGGTAGGTAGGTAGGTCCTCCGTGGATCAACTTACTCACTTACTCACTCACTCACTCACTCACTTACCATATCCTTCCTTCCTTACCCGCTCGGCTCGTTCGCATCTGAGCAGCGTTGTGGAAATGTCAAGTACAAGTACAAAATACAATATCGACTTCAACGGATCGAGACGGACGGGATGCTTATTCACTCTTGTTCATTCTTATTTCTATACACCAGACAACACCGTCCAGGTCTACATCATACGCCATTCCATTGCATTGCGTTGCATTGCATTGCTTTACCTGTTTCAAAAATCCATGCAAGGCGCCTGTAGTATGCCCCACCCGTGGTAAATCTACTCACTCGCTGTCTGAAGAAGGCATGTAAAAAAACAAAAAAAACATGGAGAGAAAAAAAACTCCCGCTTGCCGGCTCCCATGCTCAGAGCTCCCGATGCCGCTTGTTATACGCTAAATTACAACGCTCATACGTGACAAAAGAAAACTCATATGATGATGTGATGCTATTCGTGTTTGGTGAGTGTCTATCCGGCCTGCTGTAGGATGTTCCACCCGCCTCATAGTTGCGCAGGATAGAATATCCGTTTATATCTCGCCTCCGGACTGCTAGGCTCGGTTTTGCTCTTCAGGTCCCCACTCCTGAAGATCGGCATCGGCGAGATGGCAAGCGCTGCATTTCGTCGCGGTGTCAGAGGGGAAGTGGCGAGGACGTGGTCGGATTTGGCGGTGACAGGCTGACTGGCAGAGAAGAAATCGATTTGCGCGGATCCGCTGCTAACATCCGGGCTACCGTAGTAAAGACCGGAACCGGGCATGGTATGATCCCCTGGGTCGGGCTCAGGACTACTTTCATCGGTGTGTGAATCAATGTCCGCGTCGGAGCTGTGGGGAGAGAGCGTGGTTTCGCCTGCTGACGAAATATCGAGGAACGGAGCGCCGAACTCGAATTTGGTATTGATGGGAGGGAACAGGGAGTCGCCCAGTCGAGGCGTGGGCATGGGTGTGCCGTGCGTTGTTCGCGGAGCGGTCGTAGCCGTGGGTGGTAGATATCTTCGCCGGACACCCCGGTGCGTAGATGCAGTTCGCATTGGTGAGCGCGAATTACTCTTCCTCGCCTTGGGTTCATCATATTTCTCCAGAGGATCCCTGGCAGGCTGGAGAGCATGGATTCCGTCGCCACTCTCTCTCCTCCTTCGCCCAACCCTCTTCGTCGGGCTGCGGAAACTTCCTGCGGTCATGCGTCTCAAGTCGACCTGACTCGGGCTGAACACGACCCTTGTTCTTAGCTGCTGTACCGCAGCATCTAATTCCAGCTCGACGGCACAGCGATTCCGTATCCTGCTAAGCTTGGGCCAAGTTGCCCGCTGGCCCGAGAGGCACGCCTGAACCATAAACTCGGCCGTGGGGTTCTTCAGCATCCGCGGGAAATCCTTGTATTCGATCTCGGGCAGAATGGTTATGTCACCCGAGTACTTCTGGCTCAAGACCGACCTCGCTTTGGTGACAAGATTGGGGAAAATGCCGAGTTCTGCCAGCACGTGCATCCGATGAAGGGCTTCGTCCTTGGCCAGGTTGGTCATGGTATAGACCCAGCCCGGACCAGCGCTGCCGTCTGAGTTTGCGTCTTTCGTGATAGCTGCATCGTCCTTGACGAGAAACGGAACAACGTGGGGGTTGACTTGAGAAACGATAAAGTGGTTGACGTTGAACATTTCCGCCAGCCGCGTCATGGGCAAATCGTTGTCCACACTTCCATCGATCCATTTCTGGGGAGTGGGGTTCCAGGGAATGTTTTCGCCCGTCACAGGGTTCTTGACGAGCAGATGGGCGGCGGAGAATAGAACCGGCACCGAGCACGATGCTGCAACTGCCGACCAGATCATGACATTCGGAGACGTGACGTAGTTGAGGAGCCTGGGGAGTTCGTACAGCGACGCAGACGACACACAGATGTTGAGGATTCGCCGGGTCCTGTTGTATGCTTCCTGAAAGGTCATGTCGCCCAACATGTCCCGCATCACTCTCGTCAGGTGCTTGATATCGATCCACGCTCCCTGGGTCAACAAGCGCCTCACCCGTTCCAGGATGCCGTCTTCCTTCCCGTCTTCCTCAAAGACGGCCAAGTCCCCGTACGGGAAGGCCTTCAATACCTCCGGGATCTCCTCATCGGTTCGGGTGCAGAGGACGGCGCAGACGATACTACCCGCCGATGCCCCTGATATGATCCGGGGCAAGAGCTTGGCTTCGAACAGGGCCTTCAACACCCCGACGTGGTTCATCCCAAACGTGGCACCTCCACTGAGCAACAGGGCACTCCGGCCGAATGCCTGCCTGGCATAGACCACCTGCTCCAGTATATCCTTCGTCTCGAGCCCATCCGGAAGACAGATCTTGCTCTTGTCAACCAGAGACCGGATGGTGTCGAGCGTCGAATCGATGTATCGCTCAATCAGATCCTTCGTACCCACATGCGTATGTTTGTAGAGCCGCATATCCCCCATCCCGCCCAGGTCCCGGGCCAGGGCGGTCCGCACGAGGTGTAGCATGGCCTTGACATCGCAGTTGATCCGCGCCTCATCCAGCTGCCTCAGCCGACTCGCAATCAGCTCCGCGTCGAACTCGCAGGAGGTGGTGTCCGCCTTCCACGCCTCGTTGCCCTCCAGCACGTCCAGCTCCGCGGCGGCGGCCTTCCACTGGTCCACCGTCTCGGCGTTCTTCATCCGGAGACTGAGAATCTGGCGCCTCTCCTCCTTCCTCGCCCTCACGGTCCTCTCCTCCTCGCTCAGGCCGTCCCGCAGCGTCAGGAGGGTATTATTGACCAGGTCGGCACTCTCCTTTAATATCCTCGCCGCCGGACCCAGGATGCCCCAACGGCCGCCAGGGAGAGAGGCGCGCGGGGGAGACGTGGCGTCCTCATGGCAGAGGAAGCCCCGTACGGGCGCGGAGCTGGGGAGGAGATGTTGTTGTGGGGGGGGTGGTGGTGGTGGTTGTTGTTTTGGTAGATTACTGCTAGTGTTACTGTAACTGTTACTATTGTTGGCGTGACAGAGCGGAGTGGTGGTCTTCTGAAGGTATTCTAGCAACACCATATTCCGTCTTGCTGCGCGCCATGAAGCGTGCAGGGAGTCCTTTTTGGCGTCGGGATGGGGGGTCCACGAGGGGGGGAGGGGGGTGTTATTATTCGAACATCCAAGAGGAGCGGAAGGGAGGAGGAGAGGATTCAGGTCTGGTTATGAGTCGTATTTGCAGCCGTAGTCGTAGGGTGGATGCGACTCGCGGCAGGGGAAGTGCAGGATGGGGGACGGTGAGGAGGGTGAGAGGAGAGTCCGTAGGTATGGTGAGGTCAGGTAAGGTAAGGTCAGGTAGGTAAGGAAGGGTCATGGCCGGGGCCGCCCAGGCGGTTGACGGTCGGTAGGCCAGTCGGTCGGTAGGTCGGTAGGTCGGTGGGTCGGTGGGTCGGTGGGTCGTGGGTCGGGACCGGTAATACAGTCCTGTACTGTAGGTGTCAGGGTGTCACGCGTGCGTGATTGCATTGCATTAGCTGTTCTACGGATCTCTCCCTGGAGACCTCCATCGAAACATCCGACACGCGACGTCGGGTACATGAAATGTATCATACGTACCGGTAGTAGTATTTTGGGGGTGTTTGAATCTATGAAACTATATGATCCTATATTGGGCATATCATAGGAACGTTACATATTATATCACGTCATATTATCAGAAGTTATATTATATCACGTTATATATTTATCAAGTTATATCATATCAAGTCATACCTTACTACATCAAGTTACCGGTATCTCATACCAAATCATAACCTGGTGCCGCGGATCACGAGACTGGGGAAGGATGATGCACCACCCATTACCCCCCGTACTGCGCAGGCCGCGGTCACACTGCCTTGCTTGTCCTCCCCCATCCCATCGATCGAGCAACAGACGCATCGCATAACCCTACCTAAGGTAAGGTAGTTCCTGCATGTGAAAAAGTCCGGAGGCGGAGGGAGCGAGGGCTGCAACTATTTTGAGCCAATCCTGCTCTTTGAGGGAATAACTCTCAATCGAATTGTGGGCCAAAGAAGAGTAGGAGACAAACGACAAAGGGGTTATGTATATAATGTATATAATGTATATAATGTATATAATGTATATAATACACAAATGGGGTATACGCTGGATACGTCCGAGTTCGTAAATCAGCAAATGCAAGAAATGTACTGTAACACTCTCCAGCACATGCCAGTGTCTCACCGCCCCCCTTCCCCCCCTCCCCCCCCTCCTGCCATCTTTCCCGCGCTTCCACGCCTGCCGAGTAGAGCCGATCATCTGGGCTTGGGCCCATGACTTCCTTCACTCCAGGCCAAGTGACACTGTCGGAAGGCGCCCACCACCACCAAGTGCAAAACCTGGAGGGCCAGCCTACCCCGTACCCCGTGCCCCGGACATAGGCAACACCTCGATGCACTTCGCCTGTATCGGGCCAGCTCCGAGTCGGGGAGTTCTTGGCCTTCGGAGCTCGTTCCTACACCCTACACCATCCGATCTGCTCTTCGCGGCCGACATCCAGATATACCTACGGGTGAGGCGCATATTCGACCTGGGCCCGGCAGACACACTCCTCATCCACCTCGCTGAGGAGATCGATCACACTTCGTTTGCCCGGAGACGAAAGGCTGTAGTTCCAAATGGAAGAGGTGGAACATCCCTTTCTTCGCCGGTGCCCTCGTGGTATCGGAGCGTCGGTCGTCGACCCGCGGGCACCGTGACAGCGACGAGAGAAGTGACCGGGCCTGGGTTCAGATCGTACAAGGCCGCGTCAAGGTGCCATCGGTAGAAACGAGTGGCATGCAAATCATCCTCGGCAAGGATAGCGGGATAGCGACCTGGTGGAAACGTCTTGTGGTGCAGCTGGACGAGCTTGATGTTCTTCAAGCCGTCGTGCTCCTCCGACGTTCCGTTTCCACTGACCGGGACTTGAGGCTGAGTAGGGATGGTCTGGAGATCCGGGTGGAGAACAGAACAGAGTGCTGGACATCGAGCGTCTTGCCGTGCCCATAGCTCGCGGCGCTCGGAGCTGGGATCGAAGCGCTCCGTGAGCTCATATTAGCCCTTTGCGGTAAGATGGCTCGGGTTCTGGAGGACCACAACATGCGATCTGTCGAGGGCATCGCGGATAGTCTGGAAGTCGGCCTCGGAGACATTCTCGAGCTCGACCTGATCGATGTCAAGACCAGAGTCGACGGCGGACGTCGGGTTGGGCGCCAGGAGCGGGCGCACTGGCAAGGACGGGCCAGCCGTGGTGTTTGGCTCTGTTATTCCGAGTGAGGAGAAGCCATTGGTAATTGGGTGTTGGACTAACGGTGTTGTTGATGGATGATGTTGAATGGTTGCTGGCGAGACTGAACCGCAAGGGCCGGGCTCCTGTCTCTGTCTTTATTCACCATGCATAATCGATACCTCCAAATTCTAGATCGAAATAACGACACAGTTTGGATAGTTAGCAATAGGTTTGATTCGTCTTCATCAAGAATATCGCTTCTGGTGAGAACTAGCACCTGCCGCTGCCTCCTGTATGTACTTCGTATACTCCGTACTTTCTTCCCTTATCTTATCGTAGCCGACACTACGGAAGCCTGCGGAACTGCGCTCCTTCGAACACCTTGCAAGACATACACGGCTGTCGCTGAAGAGCTTCGAGAGCCCCGACTCAGATTCCAATTCCAGCTCCAATTCCCACTCCCCTTGCACCACGTTTCCCACAATGCGGTTTCTACGCTCTTTAGTCCCGTCGCTGTTACTCCTGGGTGCGGGCGTCGCAGAGGCAGCTGCGTCCTGGAGTTTCGACGAAGGGGTGATTTCTGTTGCTCGGAAGGGTGGTGCCGACAGCTCGTTCAAAGACAAGTAAACCATCCCCAGGCTTGCCCGAAATTATCGTCAAATTGTTTCTGGCACCTACTAATCAGGTGTACAGGCTCTCCAATAAGGTCCCTCTGGCAAAGCCCGTACCACTGGGTCCTGCCGATACCCTCAAGATTGTCCTCTCAGCGACCGAAGACGGAATAGCAAAGAAACCACACCAAGCCTTCCTCCTTCTGAGGGACCAAGACTCGGGGCTAGAAGAATCATTCCAGTTTACCTTCAGGAAGACTGAGCAGGGGAAGGTCGACTTCGTACGTCTCCCAATGCCCCCGGGTCTTGCTACCAGCTAATTGTCTTTTTTTTTTTGGTGGCCCAGACCCAAAAAGACCTCCCATACCAACTCCTCAAATCCACCCAACCACTGAAAGCCACTGTTCTCCTCGCATCTTTCGGCCCCGCCCGCGGCTTCAGCAGCCACGTCTTCAACCTCGATGTGCAGCTCGACGCCTCTGCACCCGAGCTGGATTACGAGAAGCCGGTGAGATACGGACAGCGCGAGGAGATCAACCATATTTTCAAAGCGGACCCTAAGAGCGGACCCGTGGTCATCTCTGCCTTCTTCGTTCTTGCTATCCTGGCCACGGTGCCAATTCTGCTTGGAACTGTATGTTGAGCCTCTGAGGTGATTTCCGAGCAGGTACTAACTGGCGACAGTGGGCATACCTCGGAGCTAACCTCAGCCATCTATCCAAAGCGTTTGGAGCTGCACCTGTCTCCCACGGCCTGTTCTTTGGGTCCATTTTGTCGATGGAGGGGCTCTTCTTTCTCTACTACTGTAACTGGACTTTGTTCCAGACCCTGCCAGCTGCTGGGGTCATCGGACTGATAGCTTTCTTGAGTGGAAGCAAGGCTCTGTCGGAAGTTCAGAGCCGTCGTATGGCAGGCGAGAGATAGAGGGCGGGAACTCATGACAGTGATTCGTCTGAATGGGGTAGCAAAACAGCATCGGGCTTTCAAAAGTTATAGGAGCGTTTATCAACTGGAACTGTATATGTACAATACGAAAGTTTGAAAGTAAGGGGCTGGTATATACGGGAGCAGAACCACGCCAAACTGTTGACTTGGATGTAGTAATCGAATGAGCTCATGAATCCTGAGCTATGGGAATTTCCTCAGTATGCCAGGCGCATGCTCGCTGTCCAAGTCCCAACCCAGCTCAGCTGAAACTACCGACCCGACTTGTTATATTCAGTTAGTAATGTGATACACCGGTGTGCCAATTGTTTCTGTCGGCGAAACCATAAGCCTGGCTCTATGCACATCTGTCTCGTCAAGCAAACCTCCATCCATGGTTTCGTCAACCCCCGCCCAGCCTGGCCCCAACATGTCCTAATTGATCTTCGCCTTACTAAAGTCCATCTCGGGATGCTGTTCCTGGAACTTCTTCAGCATATCGACCTTCTTCTGCTCATCGCTCGTCGGCAGGCCGGCCTCCTTCTGCCTCTGATCGAACATCATCTTCTCGACCATGCCCCGCGTCTCGCCGTCCAGGTCCCCCAGCTTGCTGCTCTCGGGCTGGATCTTCGTGACGTCGATCTTCGGGGCAGAGGTCACGACGTGCTCCCACCACTGCATCTTGTTGGCCTTGTCGAGGTGGATCTCCAGGACTTTGGTGGTGCCCGAGGGCGCGCTGGCCAGGGTCCAGGTCGACTCGTCGACGTGGATTTCGGAGGGGAGGTCGCCCTGTAGGACACACCCACGCCGATTAGTTTCCGTGCGCGCAATTGGTATGGGGTGAGGGGGGGGGGGAAGAGGAGCAGGGAGAGAGGGAGGGAGATGTACGCTGATGATGGGTTCTTGGCCTTTGATGGCAACGTGCAGCTTCTTCTTCTTGAGCTCGACGTTCAGATCTCGCGCCTTGAGGTTACCGGGGATCTCGATCACGACGTCGAGCTCGCCGATGGTTTGGGTCCATTTGTAAGGGAGAGCATCCTGTTCGGCTTTGATCTTTGCGGCGGCGGCGGCCTCTTGCTCTGGGGTAGGTTCTGCGTAGCTGTTAGTTAACTTTGAGTTTACAGAATGCTTTCACGTTTTGAAATAGAAGTTGCAGCATTAATACCTATAGGAAATAGAGAGCTTACCGTTATCAGCCATTTGCAATAACTTGTGTGTGAACTTGAGACGTAAGATGGTTTGTTTACTTTCGTCGTGGGATGTTCCGAAAAATCAACGCGGGGAGGGGAGGGGACAAGGCTTTGAAGCCGCCTCTTGGCGACGTCCCGTTCGACAGCCTCGTCTCACCTGCTCAACCACCTCCGACAGCAGCAACTTTCTCGACCAACTCACGACACTCCTTCAATCTGCATCGACATCATGCAGCGCACACTGAAATCCCTCGAGGTCAATCCCTCCGACGATATCTGCCCTGTCTGCAAATCCAACCGCTACCTCAACCCCTCCCTCCAATTCCTCATCAACCCAGAATGCTACCACAAGATGTGCTCCACCTGCGTCGACCGCATCTTCACCTCGGGTCCAGCCTCCTGCCCCGTTCCCTACTGCGGCAAGACCCTGCGCAAGAAGGGCTTCCACAAGGCCTTCTTCGGGGACCTGGACGTCGAGAGGGAATGCGACATCCGAAAGCGGGTCGGGGGCGTGTTCAACCGACGACAGGAAGATTTCGAGACGCTGCTCGACTGGAACGACTACTTGGAGGAGGTGGAGAGCCTGATCTATGATCTGGTGCACGGCCAACCGGCGGTGCGCGCCGAGGCCGAGGCGCGGTTGAGAGCCTACAAGGACAGCAACATGGGCGAGATCGAGGACAACCGGCGCGCGGGCATGGAGGAGGTGGAGCTGGAGAGGAGACGGGAGAATGCCGAGAAGGAGGCGGCGCGACAGCGGCGGCTGGCGGCGGTCAGGGAGGAGGAGGCGGCGAAGATGGACGTGGCGCAGAGCCGGAGAGACGTCTTGGACAAGCTCGCGACCACGGATGAGGATGCGAGGCAGATTACGATGCAGGCTCAGAAGATCATTCTCAAGAAGAGCGGCGCGAGGAGGCATCTGGCGGACAACAACACCGCGCTTGCGGGCAACGGGAGTGCGAATGGAGGACTCACGCTGAGAGGACTTAAGAAGCCAGTGGCGCCAGTGGTGGAGAAGCCGTATGATCCCTTCGGAGGTGTGGATCTTACGCCTTCGCGCTATGTGCTGCAGAGCGACTACGACAGCGAGTGGCTCTCCAATGCCAAGACCGACCAGCGACATATGGCTGGGGGATACAGCCTTCAAGAGTACTATACCCGCACCATGTTCGAGGCGTTCTCTGGCCTGGGTGTTCTCATAGAGGATGAAGTTAAGACTAGACCTCAGCCCGCGGCCCCTTCGTCGCTAGCAACAATGGCAGCTGTTCCGGCGTCAGGGACCAAGGTGAAGGTCGAATATAAAAAGGAGCTCGACGATGTTTTCTAACGGGATATCTGGGACGGATTCACGGGTCACGCGCGTTCGGAGGATCAGTAATTATTACGGCGTTCAAGAGCTCTGGGTCTTTTCGAGATAGACATCCAACACCACTTGTAATTTCGTCGCTTAAAAGGCAATCTGTAATGCTACAATTATGCATTTCGATGTCAACCCATCCGTCTTTCCTTGCTCAGTAGTGAAACCCTGAAACTTCTCGTAACGCCATGCTATGATTTCGACCGGACAAGAAAAGTACACCGTGGCAACCGCTTCCATCAAATTACTACTGCCACGCCGGCTGCTGCGCCGGTCGTGGAAATACCGGGACAGTTTCGAGACTGTCGAGTCCTCCCCCAATTGGCTTCTGATGATGCTGCCATCCCGACCCTGTAGCCGTGTTCACGAACTGACTCTGTCTGAATGGATTTGTACTCCCGGTTGGCTGAGGGGCCAACCCGCTACTCGTGTGCGGCCGCTGGCTGGTATTGTTCAATGCCAAGTTTTTGGCGAAAGGATTGGTGCCTGTTGCCATGGACCTGAAAGGAGCCGCAGTTTGCTGTTGCAGTATCTGCTGCTGGAATTGGTGGTCAGGTGGGGGCGTAAAAGCCTGCGGTGCTGACGATATCGACTTGGCGAAGGGATTCGTAGACTGGGGAACTACAGGTAACGTATTAGGGGTTGGGGCAGGATACGAAGACCCAGGTATGCCCGTCGTGTTCGCCGTCATCATTGACTGACGGAAAGGATTCGTAGTCTGCTGAGCTCCGGTTTGCAGGTTGGCCATGGGCATTTGCTGTTGCGGTACTTGTTGTTGGAAAGATGCAGGCGAGTCCTGTGGGATCGACGATAGGTTCCCGGGTTGGAAGGAGGATGGCTGGGGAGAGAAGCCTCCAAAGCCAGAGCCTGTAAAGTTTGTCTGAACAGGGCCGGGCTGCGCAGGAAATCCAATACTGAAGGGTGGCTGGACCTGCTGAGGCTGTTGATGGAATGGGTTGGGACCTCCCTGAAATCCAGTCTGTTGCTGGACGAAGCCATTGTCTAGAGTTTGCTGAGGTTGCGGCGATTGCATCTGAAAAGGTACCCCGTTATCGAACTGGGGGGGACCTTGTTGCATTCCAGATTGAATTGCCAGAGGCTGCTGGTGTTGCTCAATCGACTCGAAAAAATCGATCAAATCTAGATCAGGCCCTTTCCCAGGTTGAGCAGCTGGCTTCATAGTTGTTGGCGGTGCATCAGGGAACGCCTTGCCAGCCCCAGATCGAGCTTCCGAAGCGCTCTTCGTTGCTGCTGCAATGGATTTGCTACTTGCACCATTCGTCCTGTTTCTCTTCGACTCCAATTCTGCAATATACTGTCTCCTGTTGACCTCAAAGTCCGGCTCCAACAGATATTCCCCGAGCTGCTTGGCAAGATGGACTGGGGCATGTTTCAATTTTGGCACTTCGAGCCGAGTCTGGTGTTCATACTGTCGCGCAGTGACGAGATATTGGACCACGAACTCGGTCTGTCTTGTGAAATTCTTATAAATCTCCAGTGCTCTTTCGGCATCTGGGCGCGACATCTCGAAGAAGTGGCCTACTTGTGTTAGTCGATTCTTTGACTCGCTATGGCTTGTATTTACCCAAAATGTTAATCACAGCCAAGTTCATCACACGAAACATCGCCAGAAGGTCTAGTACAAGCATTCGAAACACTGTAATTGTGATTTCGTTCTCGGGCTCGTTATCCAGGACCTATCAATGATTAGTATATCCCAGTTCCGGGATACATGAGACTAACATCGCATTTCAATAGAGCTGTAATCTGATGCTGGACAGTCTCGGTCTCTCTCAGCAAACCCTTTTCCACCGTCATCTTCTCCAACCTGTTCTCCGCCGCTCTGACGAAGTCGGTCTTCGTATCTCTGAATGCCCTTGCCCTCTCACTCAGGTAGTTTGTGTAATGCCGAATATTGCGGCCCTGGGTTTGGACTTGATGGATATCGTTAGCCTGGCTTCCGTGGTATCGCCTTCCACACAATCATCTCAAGCTCTCAAGCTCCGGACTGCCCAGTAGACCTACCGTCGGAGAAACTGCTTATGGCTAGCATATTCCTATACCGCGCAAGATATGCCAACGTCACGTCCGGGGACCCCTCTCTGATCATGAGATGTACTGTGATCAGACTCTTGAATACCACAGTCCATGTCGAATCGCGCAGACGGTTCTGCAACGCCCGGAACACCTCGGCCACTCCTGATTCTCCAGCATGTGTCGCTATTAAGATATGCTCAATGTATCTATGCGTCAAGCAGAGTCAGCGGAGCCCGGGATAGGTCTTTGCAGAGGGAGCGTACTTTGACTTGGGCGGGGCTGCCTGTTGTTGAAGAGTCAAGTCAGTACGTGCCACAGAGATATCTGCAAAGCCGGCGAAGCTCTGGACCGGGTTCCACGCACCTTGATCTTGGTTGCCCCTTTGACCGACTTCTCGAAGGAGCTTGCCATCTCGACTGAGTGGCTGGCTCTTTCGACTCGCAGGCACCTTTCGCTCTGATTCGGAGGGCTGGATGTGTTGTGGGGATGTACCGGTAGGGGAGTGGGCGATTGGGCGATTAGGAGGATGGGTGATTGATGGACTGATTAATTGTTTGCTTTGCGTGCTTGCAGCAATGTTGAGAAACGAGGGAGGCCTTGGATTCGTATAGTCGTCGTAGTTCAAGGGGCTGTTGTTGTGGCCACTCGCACGACTGCACAATCTAGCTCAGGTACGGGTCAGGACAGGACAACAATGGTAAGGAGTTGTGGTTGTGGATGTCGTTGTCGTTGTCGTTGTCGTTGTCGTTGTCGTTGTCGTTGTAGTTGTAGTTGTAGTTGGACGCACCGTAATACCTCGTCAGCCTACCACCGTACGGGGCCGGAAGGAAGGGCGGGGGTCTATTAACTATTGTCGGCCTTGTACCGGTACTGCGATAATGACGGCCGTTCTCTTGAATCGGCGGCGCATGATGCCATGCCGATGTTGCCTTCTCAATTTCCTTCGTACGGGCACGGGGACTTGGACCTGGGAGAGGACTTACTACGTACCAAAGACCAAAGTCGCAAACTCTTTGTGGAATTGGCGTGTGGCGATTGCTGAGCTGGCACAGGCACTGGCACTGGCACAGGCTCAGGCTCAGGCTCAAGCTCACCCGGTCTCGCCGTGATTGGTGCATGGTAGGCAATCCAGAGGGGATGTTCACCTTTGCCTACAAGGACCGACCAGGTATCTCACCCGTCATATTGGGGGCGGCTATGCATTTTGCTTCCCCGTACCCTACCAGTGGAACATTCCAACCAAACTCTATCAAGATACTATCTACGGATCTATCCACAAGTTGGAGCAGGTGACGTTCCCCGAGGACGAGAATATCCGTGCATCCTTAATTGTCGGCTGTATATAGGAATCCATCTATAATTGCATCGGGAAGAGGGAACACCACCGATCACCGCCAACCGCTTTGGACTGCGTGTGAACGACCAAATTAGAGGTACCGATGAAGGGAAAGAGGATACCCATGAATTGTCAAATGTGACTAGGGTGTATCTCGCCCTGCCAGCGGAACCATGCCTTACCTCGATGCAATCGTCACAGCATTCGAACATAGGCCAAAAATATCGGGGAAACACAAAGAAATTTGGGGTCGAGGAGCTGATGTGTGTATGCAGCGGGAAACAAATCTGACGATGCGCGGAGCCACAGCACGGCTATCGCATCGCCCCCGGTATACAGTTGTAGTATAGTGATGCCTTCCAAGCTTCAAGGATCAGAGATGCCTTCATTGCGTCCGATAGTTAACAAGATTGGTGTGTCGAACGCTTTTTTCACTCTTCCCATCCCCTCTCGCAACCTGACCGCTGAAGCCCGGTGAAGGGAGAGTCGGAGAAGCTCGAGGAGGAGGAATCGTAGTCAAATTAACACGCTGGCTTTTCATCATCTGCGAGGAAAGGGTTAGCAAGAGCAGGCCAAGTGTAGAGACGGAAAGGAGAAGAGTGCAGAGGGCGCGCTCGATGTTGGATGTTGGGGGCTTACATGTATAAAACTTGGAAGGATGCAGAAGAGAAAAAACTGTTCGGGGCCAATTTGTGAATATATGTTCTGAGACGGCCGCATGGCGCTATAAATGTGGGACCGCTAAGCCCAACCGAGAGAGCTCCAGGTCGAAATATTAAAGTATCAGCTTTCTCTCTCTCTCCGCAGCAAGTACCGTCACCACGAGCACTACGCGGCGATGAATTTATTTCCAACATCTTGTCCTACAAGGCGTCTGTCGAGACTCTGCTCTCGGCAGATTTTCCAATTGACCTCCCCCCACCGATGCGCGACTCCGGCGGGCGCGAGAATACCACGGCGAAGATACCTCCACCACAGCGGACCAAGACTGGCACAACCGGCCGGGGCAGAGCTTTCAGAGACGCCGAAGATAGATGAACCCGAGTTCTTCAAGTCTTACAAGAACACGCGTATGTAGGCAGCTGTGTAGCTGTATGCTTCGGAGCAACAACAGAGGCATACGCTGACACGCTCCAGTCGTGGCACCGCCATTAACGTACCGACACAGACAAATCATTCCAAGTAAGCTAGGCAAGGCAGTCGTGTTAGTCGGATATTTGAAGAGTGTCACCTCCTTGGCTGAGTCCTTGGTGTTTGGGCAATTGGTGTGGGCATGCAAAGGGGAGGAGAAGCAGGTGCAAATAGTATGTCGAGGCGCAGAACTGTGCCGCCAGCTGAAGAGCACGAGACTCAACACTCCGATCAATGTCTCTGGCACAATAGCCCGCAAGCGTCCGAGCAAGAAAGATAAGCAAGATGATCAAGATGTCCAGGTCCCACTCCAGCTTCCCTCCGACGAGATCGAGATTGTTGTGACCAACTTCCTGCCCCTGAATGACATCCATCCCGACCTTCATCTCAGTGCCGACCACAACTACCCTCCTCAGAGCAGACACCTTCAGCTCCGCTTCGACCCAGCCTTGAGACAGCGTCTGCGTCTTCGATCCGAGGTTGCCAAACATGTCAGGCATAGCTTGTCAGACTTTGACGAGATTGACACGCCAATTTTGTTCAAGTCGACTCCAGAAGGAGCACGAGAATTTCTTGTTCCCACCCGGAAAGCTGGATTTGCATATGCGCTCCCCCAGAGCCCGCAGCAATACAAGCAGATACTGATGGCATCGGGAATCAGTCGCTATTTCCAATTTGCAAAGTGCTTCCGCGACGAGGATCTCCGAGCTGATAGGCAACCGGAATTTACACAGGTGGATCTCAACACCACGGCTCAGGGTCAACGCTGATTCGATCTAGCTTGATATCGAGATGGCCTACGCAGATGGAAAGACGGTTAGGCAAAGAGTTGAAGATGTGATCCGGCGTATCTATCGATTCATGCCAGCTATGAACGGGTCAGACCTCAGCGTCCCAGCGCAAGGGTTCTACAAAATGACTTATCGCGAAGCTATGAGGCGTCATGGATCTGACAAACCGGATCTCAGAATTAATGCGCCTGTAAGTTTACCCTTCGATTTGGCACATGCATATCCCTGAACGTCTTTCTAGATATATCAAGTCGACGAACTCGTTCCCCAAGAGCTAAGCAGTATGCTTACCTCGATCGAGAGACCAACGTTCGACTTCTTCAAGATGCGCTTGAATGCTTCTCCCAAAGAAGCCACCGCTTTCATTCGCCGCTTCATGGACTCACCAGACGCAGAGAGCTTTAGATCCAACATTGACGGCGCGCCGGGAATCTGTGTCTACGATTCTTCAAAGCCGATCGAAGGCCTCCAGACGCTAGGTTTCGAGGCAGCAGACAGATTGAAAGCCAAATGTGGGAACCGAAAGAAGCTGGGCTGGGAAAGTGCCGCAGAACACGAGATCAATCGTTCGTTCGAAGATGGCGACCTGCTTGTTATTCAAGCACGAGAGGAAATGCCAGCGAAAATGCCATTCACTGGTGGTTCAACCGCCCTTGGCCGTCTCCGCCTGGCAATTTACAAAGCAGCCATCGCAGAAAAGCTTATCGAGCCTGATTTGTCCCATCGCTATCTTTGGGTAATCGGCTTTCCCATGTTCACTCCGAATGACGGGATTGACCCGGGCCAAGGAGGCTCTGCAGGTTTCTCAGCGACACATCATCCCTTTACGGCTCCGAGGACACCAAGAGATGCTGATCTGCTTCTGACAGACCCACTTGCAGCTACAGCAGATCATTACGATCTCGTAGTCAACGGAATCGAGCTCGGCGGTGGGAGTCGTCGTATCCATAACGCTGATATGCAGAAGTTCATCATGCGCGAGATCCTCAAGGTAAGCCTTGTCTCTTCCGGGCCAGCGAGCTTGCCCGTGTCTCCGCCTCCGCCTGACCTTGAAATGATCATGGCAATATTACATGGTGACTGACTGGACCTCAAAGATGAGCGAGGCGCGTATCAATGACTTTTCTCACCTATTTTCTGCCCTTGAATCCGGTTGTCCGCCACACGCTGGCTTCGCAATCGGCTTTGATCGTCTTATAGCCGTTCTCACAGGTCATGAATCTGTCAGAGATGTTATTGCGTTCCCAAAGAGCTCGAAGGGCGAGGACATAATGGTCAAGAGTCCATCTAAAATTACAGATTCCGAATTGGCAACTTATCACCTAACGCTTGCGAGGGACGAGCAATCTACAGAATAGATTTGTAGGGAGACTCAGATGCAGAACTGGAGTCCATAGTGGAAGTCCAATAAGCAATAAGAGCTGATTTCCCAAAGCATACAATTGCACGAAGTCATTCTTGAATGACTAAGTAAAGCAGGCATTGCACTGCGGACCGCCTTTCGAGGAGGTGCGGTTGTCGCAGGACTCGATTGGCACAGCCCTGCAATAGAGAGAAAAGGAACTGATTCGGGACTCGAACTTGCACGATCTGTTCGTACAGGGACTCAACGAACAAGGAAGGCGTCGTGTCTGGAAAGAAGATATTCATGAGCCGGAGGAAACGAAAACAACAGAAGTCTCCAAGGACGAAGAGACCGAAATAGACCAGTTACCAGGAGAGACCAAAGTTGAAATTGCCCTCCTGATTAAGATTCCACTGGTTTATGCGGTCATGGTGATATAGGGTGCGTGACAACTTGTAACTTGTACGATGTGTATTTGCGTAGCGATGGGGCTGTTCTGGGCTGAGAAAGGCCTTTTGTTTCCATATCCTCTTCTTTCATCATGTACAAGTAGCATAAGACTCTGGCCAATCTCGAATGTTGCAATTTGATTTCAAGAGGAGAAGTTACATTGAGTGATGTCTGGGAGTCACGCTGGTTGCGGTACGTCGTATTACAAGATCCTGACCCTCACATTGCTAACGTAAACCCTCCGATTCCCAGGCGCCGCGCTTAAGCGATTGTATACAGCAGAAGCCGGAAGACATAAATAAATATGCAACAGAAAACAGACCAGTCATCCGATACAAACTGTCTCATGCAAAGCGTGACCTAATGGTCGTGCTGCTCCCATCTCTTCCAATTTCCAATACAAACACATAACAAACAGAAACCTTTACAGCTCCCAGCTGATCATCATGCTCATTGAAATAAGTCCGGCCTCCAAGCGACTTCCAGCCGTCAGTAATTCTGATTCACAACATCATTCAACTGCTCGACATGCCGTTCCTTGGCTTCCTGCTGATGAGCATCGTACTCTGCTACAGCAAGAGACCTGTGGTCCCTTTCATCCTGCACATATCTGTCAAGATTCTCCGTGCCCGAGTGTTTCTTGGATGAGCTGCCGCTGTGATTGTGCGCGTGGACGTGAGAAGGGGCCGATACGTGCGAGGCGGCGCCTTTTGCTGAGCCGCTATAGGCCTTGACTGATGAGTTGGTTTTGTGTGCCATGTTGACACCGACCAGTGGTCTAGAGGATCACTGTACAGGTGCTGGAGAGGTGCTGAGGAAGGTTGACAAAGATTAAAGGAGGGTAGTGGGGTAGTAGGGGTTCTGCTGCTGGAGGACCTCTGATGAGAGACGACGATTAATAACACCAAACCATGGTAAGTGGCGCTGAGAGGTATATTTACTTCAGGATCTCTACTAAGAGGCTAATAAGGGATTGTGTAGAAATCTCGAAGGGGCAATGTGTCCTGAGATGTGAGGGCCTCTAGCTAAGCACAGCTCAAGGTCAACACTACAACCCGAACGGATGATGTTTGGAAAGTCATAGTTACTTCAGAGTCTCTACTGAGAGACAGATGGAGTGCTTCGTGTCCAAGACGGGCTGCGGTATGAGTGATGTAGCTAGCTGCTGAAGGCTCTACTGAGAGTTAATGGCTATACTATATAGCCAGGGAGAGGTGGGCAGGAGCGCTGCGAGGACACTTCCGTTCAGGACGCTTCAGAAATCGAACAGATATCCTTATAAGCAATTGGCTGAATGGTGAGCTGTGATGGGGACAGGTTGCTATTCGAAACGAAAATGCTCAGGCTCTTGAACGAAAAGCAGAATCCAGAAGCAGAGGGAAGCAGTCTGATGTCGCCCTCTTATAGATAACCGAACAGTGCGAAGCCAGCAGCCAGCAGTGCGGTAGGTTCAAGGGCGCTCTTCCTCCCATGGTGGTGAGGCTGCTCTGGAGTTTTGATGCTCGTTTTCATACTGAAGAGGAGCGTGACCTAGATTTCGGCGCAAGGAATAGCTCTCATAGATCTAGTCGGCAATCCGGTTGGCTTCCGACTTGGACGGCGCAGGGATGGGCCAACGGTGGATCCAGGGACCGCAGATTGGTAGACGATCCGATATCATCGTCTTTGGCAAACATGGGGAAGTCTGATCGTCATACGGGCTGATGGAATCGCTCTCCATCAGCCCCGGGGAAGACACCCGGGGAGCCGATGTCGTGCGAGGCTGTGGATGTGGATGTTTTCCCCGGCCTGAATTCTACGAATGCAATCGACACTGACACTAGCAGCACGGCATATGCAGGCATATGCTACGTGACAAGTCACCGGACGATGATGACATCGGTCAACGAGCAGGTTTTCCTTTCCGCACTGTAAACCAGATAAGCAATGAACGGAGAGGGGGAGGAGGGGAGAGGAGGCGAGGCTAGACCTCTTGCCAGCCGCGGCCAGTCGCCCTCTTGCAACAGTTGTAACACCGAAGCGGTGGGAGTCTTACCGGGAACTAGTTGCGTGGCACCGGGCCGTCCTATCTCTCGGTATTGTGGAAGAAGCCGTTATCGTGTATCGTGTACACATGTACGATGGTAAGTAGCGAAGAATCTAAAGCATATCAGCTGAATCGGTACTTGGCCTCGTCCCCTGACCGATAAGCGAGACAGCAAGACAACATCACTGACGTTTAGACCTAGGTTGTTAGGCGATTGAAATAGGCACACAATCGGCACGATGATTCATGTCTAGTATTCTCAGGACACCCGCGCCAGTCAGAAAAGCCATGCCACACCCGTCATAACTTCCGGCCTGTTTTCCTCAACAAGTTCAAGATACAAAACATCATGGTTCAAGCGGACCGATCGCGAAGGGATTGCAAATAACAAGACAAGGGTAGCGTCTAACGGCTTCACCAAGACAGACACATAGATCCCATGATTGCACACGTATGCAGATATGACTGACAGCGCCGAGACTCCACGGGCAAAGTGACCACCACAGAATCCTGCTCCGGGCTCCGCTTGTCAGCTTTGCAAGCGCCGGTCCCCTCAAACGACTCGTCCCGTTACATACTCTAGGCGCCGGGGAGCTTTTCTGGAAGCTGGAATGAACTTCCGGATGGTGTACAGGCAGAGGCAGACGAGATCACAGCGGGGGACAACGTCCATAGGACGTGGAACAGCGAGAAGACTACCGGATCGATCTACCATTCAGCGGTCAGGAAAAGTATCCGGGGTAGCAGCGGCAGCCATGTACTGGTCTTCGTTCCATGGCCGTTCCGTTGCACGATCGCGAGGTGACGGGCGCCGGGGTGATGGACGAGAGGAAACGGGCAGGCTTCACCCAGCCCGTTATCTCAGCGGGCTGGCGGCGGCTAGCCACTTTCCGAGTGGGAAACAGAGTGACGCATCAAACTCGCAGCCGAAGATTGCCGTTGAAGGAGGCAGCACTCCTGTTTGATTTCCGTCCGTCGGAATCGATCCGCCCCGAGCAGTAAGGGAGCGTTACTCCGGGGAAAAGACAAGACCACCAAAAGATTGCCATACACGAACCCAGTTTTCGTAAACTCAACTACATACACGTGCTGTGGGAGAGTCTGTCTCCACTGCCCTCTTGAAAACAACATGCATGATTGCTTCGGCGCTCTGGCCTCGACGAAGAACTACCTTGTATAGGACGCAAAAAGCCAAGATGTAGACTAGCGACGACGATGCTTGATGGACGTCCTCCTTCCTACTCAGTGTCATATATTTACTGCGAAGCGTACATAACAACCCACACTGATCATTGATATTCGTCCCTATTTCTCCACACCCAGATACTGCCCGAGCGTGATCTTCTCCAAGCCCAAGCCCAATCCATATACTCCGGCTGCTTCTCGCCCAACCGAAAAACCATCGTGCTCACCCAAAGCGTAAAGCAATCAATCGTCTCTCGCCCCCCCTATTAATCCCGTATCCATGATCCATCACATCCGCAGACACGACCCATCAGCTCCCGACTCATTCCCATACACACAATTCCACAATTCCACAATTCCACCCAAGCAGAAGCGAATCCGGATTTCTCCCTGTGTTTTTCCATCTCTCCAGCCTCTCCCTCCAGGGCCGTGCCGTACCGTCCAGACTCCGTTCGGAGCTCGCCTAATCTGCCGCAGGCCTGCGCCTGCGCCTGCGCTCCAGGAAAAAAAAAAAATTTCGCCAACGCGGCCGGCACCGTCGGCAAAATTTTTCAATCGACTATAGCATCCATACTGGTCACGGGGGACATGAGAAACGGTAACAGCCACCAGCATCTTTGATGGTCTAACGGTCATGATTTCCGCTTGTCAAATCGACAAGGCGCGGGAGATCGGGGTTCGACTCCCCGTCAGAGAGGTTCATGTCCCCGAGCGCGTGCTTGGATAACCATATTTTTTGCGAGAGTGTTCGTTCATGCACGTTTTGCATATCCTTTTCGCTACCTTTTGCAAGTATTTTTTTGGGGGGGGGGGGGACTTTGTCATGGTTTCTATGAGAGAAATGATTTTTGCTTGAGTCAAGCGCGTGCAGGAGGATATAGATGGGTAAGAATCCACGTTAATCACTGAGCGGGGTCCCTTTTTTTTTTTTTTTTTTCTCTTTTCTTTCCCCTCCCTCCCCTCCCTCAACGTATCTATCTATCTATCTATCCGACGCCGGTGGGATGGCTCACTTACTTGATGAGTGCGCGACGAGTTAGGTAGTTCCACTTCCATTTCTTCTTTGCTGGATCGGTATTTATTCATCAGTAGTCGCTGGGCAGGAAGGTCTACCGGTACCGGTATTCTCCGGTCCGAGTCTGTTTGGAGCTGTCGTGATTTCTGAAAGAAAGAAGGGGTTTTTTTTCTTTTTTT